TACCTGCTTCTAACCAAACACAGTGATCTCGCTCGGGATTCAGACGACAGTTGGGCCACGTGGGAGGCACAGCCTGTCAAAATTGTGCCTCAGGTGGAGACTGTGGACACCTTGAGAAGCATGCAGGTGTGGCCCAGTCCCAGTCCTCTCCCCCCCCTCCCCCACCCACCTTGAAGCAGTAGTGCTTACTTAAAATACTTTAAGGAAAAGTGAATTTTTAGGAGCTTATGAATGATTAGTTTGTTGTCTCAAGTATCCACTTCCCTGAAGTATACCTTGATGTTTTAATAGGTAGTTTTGTAGCATAACTTGTACTAAAATATTCCATCAGATTCTTTGAATATGTTAAATTATACTGGGATATTTGAAATATTTTATTTATATCTTTCCTTACTTCAGGCATGTATGTAGTTAGGTCTGACTACTCACTGTCTAGAAGGGATTTTCTTACTCATTTAATTTGTAGCTCCAGAAATCCCAGTTCTCCAAGTGCTCTGGTTTACTGGCTACTTAGCTTTCATTTTTGTAGTAAAGGATCTCAGCTACCTAATAGGGTCCCAGGACAATTTATAAAACTCATTAATTAAAACTGTTAGGGGCCACCTCCTGTGTTCTCTGTTCAGCTCTGGGGCACGGACGGTGAGTGCCTGCGTGTCCCTCACACACAGCCTGACCAGAGCTGAGCACACCAGCTGGCTGGCCCCTCAGGTCTGCATGTCTGCTTTTCCTCTGGGATTCTCTCTCTTGGTGAATGGTGCTCTGTCCACTCAATTATTTAAACCAGAATGTGACAGTTAATATAAATTCAGCCTCCCACCCTTCCACTTAATCACTGGCCCCAGCAACCTAAAGCATTTGTAATAAATGACTCTTTCCCTGTATCCCCAGAGCCTCTCCCTCAGACCTGTCAGCCCTTTCTTGAACTGTTGCAGGGTCCCACTTTTAGTTTCCCTACTTCAATCCTTGCCTTCCCTCCTCGAATTCTATATGTTTGCTTGTTTTGATACTTCAAGAATGATGCTTATAATTCACACATCTCATCACAGGTCTACTCAAAGTACTGTAATGATCATCACTTAAACAGTAAAAATCATAAAGTCTTGATTTCTGTCTCATTCAAGGCCTCTCATCTCATCCCACTCTTACTCCTGCATTTTCCATCTTCACCTGTGGCTTCAACACATACACATAGACACACACACATACACACACAGCCCTAGGACTGCTGAGTTACTTGAGTTCCAGGATATTTCAGAGACATGACGCTCACATAATCCCATGGGATTCCTCACCATTGCGCTGGAGATCTCAGCCGCCAGTGCCCCCTGCAGTGTGTTGCTCTGTGGGAGGAGCTTTGCTTGACAGCTACTTTCTGATCAGATGGCTGCTGGCCTGGTGGCCCTGAGATTGGTGGTGTTTGGGGACTGGGAGCTGAACTAGATGGAAGACAGTAACTGGGTCTGTGTTTAAGCCTGTGCATGATTTCCCTCCCAGGTGGATAATCTTTTGCTAGTTGTCATGGAGTCTGCACATCTCATAATTCAGAGAAAAGCTTTCCAGCAGTCCATTGAAGGTCTCATGACCCTACGCCAGGAGCAGACGTCCAGTCAGCCGGTCATCGCCAAAGCTTTGCAGCAGCTGAAGGTACTTCACTGTCAGCTCTACCTTAGCTGACTTATTTGCTAAAGATGTGAAGATGCCAGGGGAGAATCGGTATCTTATAGTTTAATATCACTCAAGGGACTTTGTTTCTTAACTTGTCCTCTCTTCCCAGTACACGTTTTCCCATGTCTAAGTTAAAAATCTCCTGGATCTTTCCTGAAACTGTAGAATGTTAGACTGGACGGAATAAAAATTCGAACAGTTGTGTGACTTCTTAATGTTCGTGTGGCTGGTTAATATTGGAATTTAGGTCTCTTCATTCCTAATCCAAGCTTATTCCTCCTTTAGCAGTTACCAGTATTTACTAGAGTTACCTTGAATCTACAATGTGTAATTTGAAAGAAGATTTATGTAGTCTTTTATTTAACAGATGATTCAGCCACAGTGATTGTTTTAGAGAAAGCCAGTTGTAGAAAGGTCTTCAGAGCTCATGACGGGCCAGAGCCTCGCCGTCTCTTCCCATCATTTCCTGTTTTCACTGCTTTCTATTTTGTATTCTATTCATCGGTCTTGGTCCATCTGCACTTTTCCACAGGTCATCAGTTACATCTTCTCTGTCACATTAAGGCTTGACTTCTTAAAGCAGGAAATGGTTCTTGAAATTATAAGTATTTTGATAAATATTCATTTTTCTTCTGTCAGTCTCATTTGTCTTATTTATCTGTAAGCGTTCTTGCTTATGGATTGTCATCCCGTTCTAATGCCAGGGCAGGGGACTTTTGTTTTTTCTTTTAGTTTGAATCAGTGTACTCTGGAGAGGACAGAATTTTATGTAATATGTTGGTTATTCTTGAGCTTAAGGAACTTACAGCCTTAAGGACCTGCACTGTCATGTAAAGTACAGAGGAGGGAGAGATTAGATCCTCCTGGTAACACCTAGGAATTGCCACCATGGAGGCATTTCAAAAGATGTAAATTGGGAAGGGACGAATATGAGAAACATTTGGGCATCAGTGTCCATGGACCAGGGTTATGAGAATAACCTGTGGTCTGATGTGTTGGACCTTGGTGGATACGGTGGAAAGCAGTGGGAGAGAAGGCTGGTAAAATCAAGTGGGCAAAAATCAGGCTGTTGAGAGATTTTGGATTTTATTCTCTAGCCTCAGTGAATGTTGAAGATTCAGGAAGAATATTTTGGAATAATATGTAGGGGAATTGCCTGATAGAGACTGTGTGTACACATGAATGTGTTTAAGGATGTGTGGAAAGGGTACCCCATTTGGAGCTATTGTAGTATTGATTAGGGGAGACAACAAAACTTGAACTAGGGCAGAGTTTCTCGGCCTCCATACTGTTGACATTTTGGGTCAATCACTAATTCTTTGTTTTGGGGAGCTATCCTGTGTGTTGTAAGATGTCTGGCAACATCCCTGGGCTCAACCCAAAAGATGTCAGAAGATTTCACACACACACTCCCCCTACATCCCCTTGTTTGGATAACAAAAAATATATCCAGACATTGCAAGTGTCCCCTGGGGTGATAAACTTGGCCCCAGTTGAGGACCCTTGGACTAGAGAGTAGCCAGGGATAAGAAGAATATGACTTGATACATTGTGGGGTCATTAGAAACACATCGTTAGTTCACTCTGTGGGATTGGATCCATATTCACAGCTGTGCAGACACCGAGGGCAGAAAACAGCTGGTAGTGGACACGGAGACATGTTGAAGCTGTAAGCGTCTGTGCAAAGATCACATTGTAATTAGGCGTTCTACTTTAAGTGGATTGTTTCCCTCTTGTATTTCGTAGGATTTTAAGAATACCTAATACAGATAATGATGAAAATACTATAATATTTTCTAATTTTGGTCATTCCTTTTGAATGACCAAAATAAATACGGCTGAAGTACATTGCGGTGGTTGATGTCTGTGTGATGATGAAAGAGATCTTCCTCTAGCATACAGTAGGTACTGTGCGATTCATTTCGTTTTGGATTAATTATGGTTTGGGACTCTTTAGAATGATGCCTTAGAGCTTTGCAACAGAATCAGCGATGCCATTGACCGAGTGGACCACATGTTCACTTCAGAATTCGATGCTGAGGTTGACGAGTCCGAGTCCGCCACGCTGCAGCAGTACTACCGGGAAGCCATGATTCAGGGCTACAATTTTGGGTTCGAGGTAGGTACGAAATAAGAGGGAAAACAGCACAGTTCTGCAGTTGCTTTGTAATTTACTTATAAAATGTATTAGGATTCTCGTACAGGAGACGTCACGATCTCGTTGTTGTAATCACAGCTTAGCTAGGAGCGTCATCTCACACCGCTGCCGCGTATCAGAAACGTTTCTCTACTTTTAAATGTCAGACGGTTGCCCCGTTTTTATTTTGTGTTTACAACTATGCACTTGGATTTAAAAACCTCCTTTAAGAGATGTTTAATGTCCTAAAAGCATATTCTTAATTTAAACTTATGAGTAAAA